GATCCCAATTCTACCTTACAAATATGGCTAGACCAGAGGATGTACACTGGTACAGATAGGAACTGGAAACACAGGGAATCCAGGGAGGATGATCCCTTCAGGACCAGTAGTGTGAGTGGTGATACTAGGAAGGTGGAGGGAGGGTGGATTGGAAAGGGGGAACAGATTACAAGGATCTACATATAACCTCCTCCCTGGGGGACGGACAACAGAAAAGTGGGTGAAGGGAGATGTCGGAAAGTGCAAGATATAACAAAATAATAATTTATAAATTATCAAGGGCTCATGAGGGAGTGGGGAGTGGGAGGGTAAAAAATGAGCAGCTGATGCCAGGGGCTTAGGTGGAGAGGAAATGTTTTGAGAATGATGAGGGCAATGAATGTACAAAGTGCTTTACACAATGGATGTATGTATGGATTGTGATAAGAGTTGTATGAGCCCCTAATAAAATGATATTTAAAAAAAAAAAGAAACTCACAGAAGCAATTCTGCCCTGTCCTGTAGTTCTACCCTGACTCTATGGCAGTGAGTTGAGTGTTGAGTTTATTTCACCAGGTGTATTATAATTATATTTTGGATATTCATATATAGCTTTGAAAAAACCTGTTTATCTTGGGACTTCCTTCAGACCTGATTTGCAGATGCACCTGTGCTATGAGGATTTGCATTCGCTATCTTCCAGACCTCCAAGTTTCACTAGGCAGCATCACTTTTCTTTTCTTCTTCTTTTAATGTGGGAATAAGACACATATATGCAATTTCTTTTTAATCTATATTTTCCATTCACTCTTGTGAATGAAATATATAGAACCCTTGTGTATTCATTATTGGTGATCATCATTCCCTCTTTCTTTTTTTCATTAAATACTTTTATTGGGAGCTCTTACATCTCTTATCACAATCCATACAGTCATCCATTTTGTCAAGCACATTTGTACATATGGTGCCATTATTCATTTTCAAAGCATTTTCTTTCTACTTCAACCCTTGATATCAGCTCATGTTTCCCCCTCCCTCTCCCACCCGCCCTCCCTCATGAACCCTTGATAAGTTATAGATTATTATTTCCATATCTTACATCGTTCTCTGTCACCACCCACTTTTCTACTGTTCATCCCCCTGGGAGGGGGTTACATGTTGATCCCTGTGATTGATTCCCCCTTTCTCCCCCCACCTTCCCCTTATCCTCCTGGTATCTCTATTCTCCTGGTTGGCCCTGAGGGGTTTCTCTACTCTGGATTCCCTGTGTTGTGGGCTCTTATCTGTAGCACTGAAGCTGCACCACTTTCTAACCTGAGGTTTCCTGGACAGGTACAGGTAAGTACTACATATTTGAACTTTCAAACCCACGTAAGCAAAAGTTTGTAGTTATAAAGTAACTGGAAAGTCTTTTCCCTCCACGCTATTTCCAGGCTAATATTTTGCTGCTTATATTTCTGAGCTGGTACAAATTAATTTTTTCCCCATTCTAAGGGGGTGTAGCCCTTTTGGTTTCTCAGCCCTATGCAGGAGCATAGCCCCAAGTCCTTGTGCAGGCCTAAAGTCTTGTTTTATGTCTCCTGTGTGCTCATTACAACTCTAGACACTTCTGAGAAAAGTAGATGGCCACAACACAATCATGGCCTCACTGCCCTGTTTTCTAAGCTGGTTTCCTGATTCCTCTTTTTGAGTGTGAAGCTTGGAAGGCTATCAGAAGTATTCCTCCTTTCTTGAAAGCTTAGCTTAGTCATTGTAAAAATGTTCTGTTTTATCTAGAATTTTTGTGTGTTTTTTAAGGGGAAAGGTTTTTCAGGTTATTTGTCGGCTATATTATTCCTTGATTCTTCTTTTTCCTGTACCCTCCATGTAGGCTTTCCCTAGTGAAAAACATAATCTCAGTACTTATCTCCATTTTTGTTGTTATATCCATAGTGTTGTTATTACCTTCCTAGTTCATTTCCCTTGTATTCTTATCTCTCTTTATAAGTCTGGTAATCTCCAACTGTAAATCAAACAATATAACTTCTCTGCTCAAACACTTTAATTAGCTTCTTAGAATTAAGACTACATACCTTCTGTGTAGCATTCAATATCCTTCATCTTCTGAATCTTGTCTACCCTAGTATTTTCTTGTACTACTGTATACTTCATACACCAAGCTCCAGTTCCACAGGCCTTTGAAAGTGACCATTGACGTCCTTCTTCTTCTTTTTTCCCCCTTCTGTCTGTCTGCAGTACCTTCCCTTGGGTGCTTCTCAAGGCTGTTTCTCATTTGTGCATTCTCTGCTTAAATGCTATCTTTTTAAAGAGGCTCTCACTGTCCACCCTGTCCAAAGTGATCTCCCCTAATTTCTCATACCAGATAGCACTATTTCAATTGCTTTCATATTTGTGAGCTCACAAAGGCAAAGGCTTTGTTTATCTTGTTCATTCTTGCATTCATGATGCCTAACAGTATCTGAAGGAGCTCTGGTGCTGTAGTGGTGTACTTGCTGGGCTGCTAACTTCAAGATCAGCTGTTCAAAATAATCAGCTCTGCTGAGTAAGAAAGGCTTTCTACTCCTGTAAAGATCTACAGTGTCACAAACCCACAGGGGCAACTCTACCCTGTCCTATGAGTCACTATGAGTCAGAATTGATTGGATGGCAGTGAGGTTTTTTTTGTTTAATAAACAGTATCTAGAAGGAGCCCTGTTGTAGCTGTGGTTTAGGTGTTACGTTATTACCTACAAGGTTGGTGGGTCAAA